TCATGCCTCCAAATGAGGTCATCAAGCTGCGACCTGATTGACAGGCTAGACTCCACCCCCTCCTTGACAGTAGATTATGTAGCTGCCACATATACCCTTAATTCACTCTATAGCAATACAATGAATTATTAAAGAAGATTGCTAACTTAATCTATCAAGTTATACATGTAAAGCAGTAAGTACATTTTCAAACTCAATAGGTAATGTAAGCCAGGTTAAGAAACAGTTTCTGGCCTTTCAGTTGTGCTAATAACCAGCTGAGAAAAAGGAATCTAAATTGGCCATCTTTATGGCTCATATTTACAAGATCTGCCTTCATGTTCCTGTGGAATTGAAGAGCAGGCCTTATAGAAAACCTCATGCAAGGTTTTGAGGTCCAAATGCCATGACTTGATAGACTGAGACATCTGAAATGCCATTGCTAACTCCAGAGAGCAAATGTTAGAAGATCGAATTGATGGCTACTTGACTTAACCTAATTGCTTGAGTATCTAGCCATGCATTTTATGTCATCTATCATTGTGGTTTCTCAGCACTTAGAAATACGAGCCCTGAATAAAAATGTAGGGAGCCACCTGTCTGCGTGGCAGGATTCCAAGAATCCGCAACCTCATGTCTGCTTATCATGAGCAGGAAATGTCAGCGGCCACCTTCGATTTGCTTTTCTCAGATCCGTTTTTCAGGAGAGTATTGCACAAAAAATTGAACTTTGTGACCAAGCCAGAATAATCAAGTACACTTCTTGTGTGTGGCCATTGAGAATCAGATGTGAGGATCTGAGAAAACACTTAGGAAATCTGGTAAAATAGACTCACGAAGAAATACCTACCTTTCAGCTGTTTGATTTTTAAGTTGGAAGTCTTACTTGAAGTGGAAAACAGATATGGCTTTGGTAGTGAGGACGGAGCCCAACAGGGAGACAGGCTGGTCATTTTGCCTTTCGTTCCAGACAGCTAAGTATTATGAGAGTAATCTCTTTGTGTTTGATAGGTTTGCTTTCATTGTGTGTGTGTGGTTTTTAAGTGAATGTTTGCCAATTTCTTGCCTCACCACTACACAATTAATGCCTGGGTTGTGATTTTAGGAAGTAGCAAGAGGGAAGAAGAGAAGACCTCTAACCAATGGAGTGACTCTTTACTAAGCTGTATTTTCATCCAAATATCACAGATAGAGAATGGAAGATAGAGATTGTTTTATAAAAATAGTTTGCTTCTTAATTTTGAAATAATACTATTGATAAAATGGATAGATTTCTTCAAATCAAAATACCACAGTAGTTAAGAGCATGAACTTGAATTAGGACCTAAGACCTGGCTTTAAAACAGTGGTTCTCAATCTTCCTAATGCCGCGACCCCTTCATACACTTCCTCATGTTGTGGTGACCCCAAACCATAAAATTATTTTCATTGCTTCTTCATAACTGTCATTTTCCTACTGTTATGAATCAGGTGACCCCTGTGAAAGGGTCGTTCGACCCCCGCAAAGAAGTCGTGACCCACAGGTTGAGAACCGCTGTTTTAAAACCTGCATTTGCTATGGACCCCTTGGCATCATCGCCCCTTCACCCTGCCACCATCTCTGTGCTCCCCTGCCACCAAAACCCTTATTCCACTTGCCGACTCTTCAGGTACACAGTCCTGGCTTTCGTGCACCAAAAAATGAAAAAAACATACTGCAACTTCAAAAGGGTGACCCCAAATTACATAACATTCCTGGTATAACTCCTAATATGTACAATCAAAAATCAAGCAAAACAATACAACCCTCAAATACATAGGATTTGGACATCAGATCAGGTCCAATATGCATCAGAGGGGGATCTGCTGATAAATTTTAATCATTCGAGTCAGACTTTTGCCTTTGGCCTGGTTTGGGGGTTCACACTAAATCCCAGCTCCAACTTAAGGACCAATAGCTCTTACATCATGGCCATGCTCAATACTCACTTCCAGGAAGGGAACACAGAGGAGATGGGTGCTCTAGCAAAATGTGGTGAAGAAATTAGATGGTGCCCGGCTACCAGATAAAATAGCATCTGGCGTCTTAATGGTTTGTCTCCAAACAAGCAGCCAACTAAGTGAGATGTCAACTAAGTCCACATGGAAGAAGGACCCATCATCTGTCACCGAAGGATTATAAATCATATAATCTGAAGTCGAAGGAGGGATTAGTATCAGAGCCTAAATTGTGAGAACCCAGTTTGTGGCAGGCTGTGGATTTACAGTGGGATCCCAAGAAACATTTGTGAAACTATATAGGAAATAAACCTCCAATGAACTCATTCTACCAACATTGAGGGATAGGAGGAACATGGTTACGATCTTGCTTATTTGAAAGAAGTATTTTTTTCTTTATTCAATAGTGAATGATTAGTGATTAGCTTGTATTAGTAAAGTGCAAGGTGAGATAATTAAAGAACTTCAAAGTGTTTCCAAAACTTACTTTATAAGATTCAACTATAATGATTGTTAGAAGCATAAATTATGAACACCTCCCCAGTTTTCCAGATCAGAATAGGAGGAGTGAGGGTCTCGGGAATTGGCTTGCTTACCGAGAGTACCGGGTGACCTTCCTTCCGTCTCAAAACAATGAATTCAGGCATCTGCTCTTGAAAATCATTCCCCTTACACTCTTGCATAGTCTCAATTGATCTTTCAGGTTATCATGATGTTTTAATGCCATGTTTTAAAAATTATAACTTGATCTTTGATTTAGGCTGACCACCAGCTCAAATGTCATATTTATGGGCTTAATTAATAAGCAGTGCTCAAAAATTATTATCTATAACTCTTATCTTTGTATGATAAAATATCAACTGAAGTATTTTCCTTTTCAAAATACTTTTTCTTGAATTGTCTTTAGTCATGGTAAGATCAAGAATTGAATATTTTATAAAATACTTATAAAATGTCTTGCAAAATAGTGTTAGGAGATCAAGATCTTTCTCACATTTCTACCTTTTGATGTAGGTTTGCCATTCAGAGGCAGATCACCCAATAAGAACATAAGCATAAGCTTACTTGTGCTTACTTACTAATCTGTAGTGAACAGTTTCAAGTGTTTTTTGCCACTTGAAGCTTATCTTACTGTGGTAGTTATACAATTTCATGTCAACTTGATACAAGAATGAAGGGGTGGAGTCTATCTTGTCAATCAGATCACAGCCTGATTATCCCTACTTGTGGGAGTGGCCTTATCATGAGGATTCTGGGAACTTTCTCTTTCTGACTCTGCCATCAGAAGAGGAGAGCCTCTCTCTCTCTCTGCTACACTGTCCTTTTGAAAAGCCACAGGGAGCCACGCTGAAGCACCCAGAGCCCTTGAGATGCTTCCATGTCCATTGGATGCACAAGACTTTCCACCCACTGGCTTGTGATCTTCCTGCATTCAGTGTCATTGCATGTGTTGAGTGAGTCTAAAAAGGAATTTATAGACTGATATTGGACATCTGGGCTAATATCAGAATTATGGACTTGATCTTGAGTGGGCTGGGATATTTTCTCAATGTGCCATTGCTCTTTGATACACAGCTCTCTCTTATACACATATGAGTGTCTCTGGATTTGTTTCTCTAGTCAACCTGACCTAGCACACTTATTTACTGAGTCCTCCATATCTGTAGGGATTGTAAATATGATAAGAGTCTTTGATTCAGCAGGAAGGTGCAGCAAGACTGGAAGAGAGACAGATGCCAGACATACCTAAAAACAGAACTTTTAATGTGGTGAAAAAATGTGAATTGCTGACTACAGATTAGTTGTTGTTGCCTTGTTATTTGGTGCCTTCCGGTCAGTTCCAACTCACAGCAACCCTATGTACAACAGAATGAAGCACAGCCTGATCCTGTACCAATCTTACAGATGTTGCTTTGTGTGAGCCCATTTTCGCAGCTGCTGTGTGTATTGACAGCCTTCCTCTACCTTTTTACCAAGCATGATGACCTTCTGCTTTACCAAACATGATGTCATTCTCCCGGGACTGCCCTATCCTGAAAACATGTCCAAAGTACATGAGACTGAGTTTCATCACCCTTACGCCTAAGAAACAGTCTGACTGTACTTTCTTTCAGCGTGGATTTGTTTTTCTAGCAGTACACGATATTTTCAATATTTTTCAGCAACAAAATAATTCAAATGCATTAATTCCTCTTTCGTCTTCCTTATTCAATGTCCAGCGTTCACAGGCAAATGTGTCTATTGAAAATACTATTACTTGTGGCAGGCACAGCAGATTTGCAGAGTACAACTAATTGCTTGATTTCTTGACTACTGCTTCCATGTGATTATGGAGCTGAGCAAAATGGATCTCTTGCTTATTGGGCAATCTGACACTATGGTCAGTTATTAAATGTTGTTCCTCTGTTAGTCACAATGATCAAATAATCATTTAGGGGCTACTGATGATTAGCATATTTCAGAAATGAAATTAGCTTAGTAGTGACATAGTGATTCTATCAGCATTTAGTGATAAAAAAATGGGATTTTCCCATCTATATTTACTGAATACATGAATCCTGGATCAAGGTGGAACTTTTAAGGGTGCATTTAGAAGTAGAGACATGTCTTGCAACATATAATACATGATCTTGTAAAAGAATTTTGTTCCAAGCCAGATTCCTCATATCCTTTGTCGTGCTCAGTCAAATTCATCTTAGCCTATTTTTGGAAAGAGTAGGAATTTGTTAACTGCAAGGTCAGCAGTTGGAAACCACCAGCCACTCCATGGAATAAAGACAAGGTGTTCTAGTGCTGAACACAGCAAGTCTCAGGAACCTCCAGACAGTTCTGTCCTGTCCTGCAGGGTCGCCATGGGTAGGAATTGACTCGATGGCAGTGAATGGCTTTGGTTCCACTTAACTTCCACAGGAAGTTCAGAAGGCCAATTAATGTTACCTATCCAATCCTTTATTATATTTTTAATTTTCAAATAGGGTGTTTCCATGCAAAATATTTGTCTTTTGACACTTCTTTCCTTAAACAGGCATCGAAGACCTTAATAGAGGCACTCTTGAAACAAGGCCATCATGGAGTTAGAAGACACGTCCTCTGGAGATGGAAACTTCTCAGGTTATTTGACTTTGTTTGATTGAATGGGATTCCCTCCTTTAGTGTTGGTGTGGTCATGTTTTCCAACACAACCGATGGCAAAAGATAGCAATGCAGACAGCAGAAAGTCAGACCTCTGGTTATAAATGTTTCCTATGATCATGACCTTGGGCAAATTTGAAAATTGAGTTTAAGACCCCTTTTCTCATTTTCCTTATTTTCAATCTTGGTGAATAGTCTTCACCTTGAGTCAAGGTGTTGTATTATCTGACAAAGCATTTTAGTTATATGTGTGAGTTCAAATATCTCCTAACAGGATGGTAGAGGTGATGCTTCTAAGCTGTGCCTGAAGCATTACTGTAAAACAAGTGATTTTTCTGATATGATCTTAGAATATTTCTACTTCAGAATGTTTATGGTAAAAACATCCAACAAAAATGTAACACTTGTGTTTTGTGTTTACTATAGCTACATGTTTATATTTCTATGGGAAAATGCCTGTAAGTAGAATTGCTAGATCAATACATACCTTTTAAGTTTTGATTGATATATTGCATCCCAAAATATTGAACTAATTTATAGCATCACTAACAATATACAAGAAAACCTGTTTCTGTTCACTTTTTTAATACTTGTGTTGCATATACTTAATTTTTTAAACACCGATTAATAGATAAAAGATAATATTACATGGTTTAATTAAATAATATTTCTGTCGCTCATCTTTTATATGACTATTGACCATTTGTTTTCAATGGAAATTGTCTTTCTATGTCATGTAATGATTTTTTCCTATTTGATTATGTATTCTGATATGTGATGCTTCTTTATATAATTAATACATATTATGCCAGTCTCTCACATAGTTTGAAAATATTTTTCCTCAGAATATCATTTGTCTCTTGCTTATGTACAAAGTATATTTTTCTATATACATATATATTCAACTCTGTATTTCTCTGGGCTTTATGACCTTTCTGTATCCACTTCGAAAAGCTTCCCCACTAAAAAATTTAGAGAGAACTTGCTTTTATATTTTTCCTATTGCTTTTAGGTTCATTTTTATACACTTTAATCTAATTCATTCTCAATCACTTATTCTTTCAAATATTTTGAATCTGTTGCTTTATTCTATTTTGGGCAGAATGAATAATATCTCTGATAATTTAGGGAGAATCAAAAAAGAATGTGGTTTGTGCTTCCTGTATTTAAGTTTTAATGTCTCTTATGGTCTTCCAGAAAGCTTCCCAATTATTTGTCCAGCTCCTTCGGGTTTCTGAAATAGAGAATGTTTTTCAGCTGTCCCGCTGAAACTCGGGGGGAGACCATGTTTGTGTCACTTCTTCCCACTTCTGAACAAATCTCACAGCCTATTGAAAAGAGCATTGTCTGGGGAGGCCTTCCAACAACTTCCAAAAATGATTGAGTAGGATTATTGTAGACAGGGTTGATGGGGTTCTAAAAGAAGAGATGCTTGGGAGACAAACAAGTAAACAAACAAATAACGGCATAAAGAATCAGAGAATACCTACTATATTTTTCCCCAGACAAGTTCATTTGGACATTGAACTTGAGCTATTGAGTGTGGGAGGTAATTGGATCTTAAACAACAGGTCTACAAGGGTTATAGAAATATTAGTGTATTCAATTTATTTCAGCACTACCAAATACTAAGAGACCAAAAAGGTCTCATAGTATAACTGTGGATGCTATGAGGCCAAAAAGGGAGATGAAATTCTTTAAAAAAATTTTTTTATTATTTTTTATGAACTTCTTATTAAAAACATTTTCTTTCTTGTTATAAATTATGCTTAATCTAAAATACTAGCTTATCACCATTTATGGTTTTCAAAAGCAGTCATCTTCCCTCTTGGTTGTACTTTCGTAATCATAAGTTCTGATCCCATTGTCTTATCAAAACTAATGAAGTGGTAGAGGAAAGACAATATCCAATGGAAGGAAGCGGACAAAAAAGGATGGAACCAGGGTAGGCCATTGGGAGGTTTGGTGAGTTGTTGAATGTAGAACTAATGCTCTTCTCTGTAAATCTTCATGTAATTCACAGTACAAAGTTTTTCACAAAGAGAAACAGGGAGAAACCGGAACAAGTGATTTAAACTGTGGAGATCGTAACCAATGACACGAGACTATGCATATATGATTTATGAAATGGACAACTAGCTTACTCTATAAACTCTCACCCAATTCACACTAAAAATTTGAAAAAAAGAAGAACCTGACAAACGAATATAGATCCATAGGATGTCACAGCAAGCAAATGTTCCCATAATGTTTGAGACCAACCTGAGATTAGTTTTGAGAATGATTCTCTATCTAGTGTTCATTTCTATTTTATTTAATATCACTTTGTGCTTTATGGTTTTTCTTTCCTTGACTTGGGAAAACACAGGAAAAGAAAAGATATTTAAATGTCTTATTGATTTTTCTAGTATGATATCGCCTTTATATTATTTTACTCTTCGTTTCATGACAGCACTCGGAAAATTTTCTTGGGGGCTATATTCTAGTTATAAGATTCAATTCCAGTATCATTTGAGGATTTAAAATATGTATCCAGAGACAAAGGACAAAAAGTTACAATTAAATCAATATTTTAATTTACATCATGGATAAAATATAACCAAGTAATCTAATGACTACAGTTCCAAATCAGGTTGCTATTACTGGTTGGTAGCATCTCCATGGAAGTTAAAAGGCTGAATGCTAATCTATAAATTAACTTCTACAGGCCTGCAGTGATACATTGATTCTTAAAAATAACTTATGAAGCATTTTGCTGGTGTTTAACAGTGAAATAGGAATCTGAGGCGTACAGTTGGACATTAAGTCAGGAAGACTGAAGAAGGATTGATAAGTTTGGATTGCAGTGCGAGTGGAGAATATTGGAAGTACCATGGATTGCTAAAAGGATAAACGAATCCGTCTGGAAGAAGCATGGCCAGAGGGCTCCTTGGAAGCAAGGATGGGGAGACTTGTCTCACGTACTTTGGACATGCTTTCAGGAGAGACCAGTCCCTGGAGAAGGGCGTCATGCTTGGTAAAGTAGAGGCCCAGAGAACGAGAGGAAGGCTTCAGTGAGATGGACTGAAACAGTGGCTGCAACAGTGGTTCAAGCGTAGGAACAATTGTGAGGCTGGCGCACGGCCAGGCGGTGTTTCTTTATGGGGCTCTTATGGCCACTATGGGTTCGGAACTGACGCCGTAGCACCTAACAACAACAACAACGGCAAATAGCAGTTTACAGAGGAAATTCACTAACTGAATAAGTGACTGCCTTAGCAAACTACCTTTTTCTGTACTTTGGGACAGTATGGATTGATAAAAGTTTAATATTCAATAAGCTTTTTAAAAAATCTCAGTATTATTTATACTGGCTAAAAATAAGCAAGCATGTAGCAATAGGAGACTGGTTGAATAAGTTTGCAACCAAAATAAAAATAAGTTTGCAGCTAGTCATCAAAAGTCATGTACTTAATGACATGGAGAAAAGTGGAAATTATATAATCACATGCATGAAGCAGGTCACAAAACAGTAGGCACCTACTTTATTTTACAATATGTTTCTCTTTAAAAAAATCATTTTATTAGGGGCTCATACAACTCCTATCACAATCCATACTTACATCAATTGTATAAAGTACATTTGTACATTCATTGCCCTCATCATTCTCAAAACATTTCCTCTCCACTTAAGCCCCCGGCATTAGGT